GGAGTTTATTACACAGATTATGGACTTTGCAATGAAGAAGAATTATTTCTTGTATAAGGAGGATTACTTCCTACAAACCAAGGGACTAGCCATGGAAGTCAAATTTGCTCCAAGTCTGGCTAATCTTTTCATGGCAAGGAACCATGGAAGATAGCTTTAAAACACAATCACAAACCATCCAACAGAGGTTTATAGAAAAAGGGTACAGTAGGAAGGAGATTTCTAAGGTAGAAATTGATGTATTGGGGATGGATAGAAAGGCCCTTTTACATTATGAAAATAAGGAAACTAGAGATCCTCCTCTGGCATTTATAACAAATTATTCGGCCCAATATCGACAGCTTGAAAGGACTATTAGGAACCATTGGAGCATTTTGATTAATGATAGCACCCTGGGTCTCCTTCTTAAAAGTAGACTAACTTATTTACAAAAGAGCCCTTCCCCTTAGAAATACATTAGCTAGGAACATTATAAACCCCCCTAAAGAAAGGCTTTACATTTTTTTGGGGTGTGGATTTTTTTCCCTGTAAGAGATTCCTAAGTTCCAGGGTTACAGGCAATAGGAAGTAAATGGAAAGTTTTAGGTGTAGCAGTAATAAGAAAATATATGAAATTAAAGAACTCATTACATGCAAAACAAGATATGTGACCTACCTACTGGAGTGCCCCTGTGGCCTCCAGTATGTAGGTAGGATGAGGAGACCCATGAAAGTGAGAATGGCAGAACATAGCAATAATATTAAAAGGGGTGACATTACCCATAATGTGTCCAAACATTTTCATAAAAAGGATCCCTCTAAACTTAAAATAATTGGCATCGATAGGGTCAAAGACATTGGAGGGGTACTAATATGAGAAGATCAATCTCTAGAAACAAATCTAGATGGATCTTTACCCTGAATACCCTCAGACCTGGGGGCTTAAATGTAGAATTTGATCTTAACTGTTTACTCAGTAATAATAAGGTGTTTTTTTTTTAAAGATTAAAGTTTATTAGACAAAACTCTTGTCTTAAATTTTTCGTTTTCACAAGGTACAGACATAAGACATGTACAAAACAAAAAAATACAAAAATACACAACCAAGGTATAAAAATCTTGTAAAAGAAAGAAAACTCCATACTGTAGAATATAGTGCAAAATAAAGACGTCTCAGGGCTTCATAGAGGGGCATTGCCGTAGGTGGAGTCAAAAGGCACGTGCGGACGGATACATTCTCAAACAGCCAATCGGGGCTTAATCGCATGTTATGTGTACCAGCATACTGAGATGGGCGAGTAGAGTAAAAGGTAACAACATCAAAGGCTCCTATATACTATTATCAATAAGCCTTTAGCTGATGTGGTAAGGTCATTCAAAGCGTTTCCGCATGTGCATGAGATTAAGGAATTCCAGTAGTTTTATGGGCACCTGAGGTCGTTAAAATTGGGGAAGAGTAAATCAAGATGCATAAAGCAGAAGAGATGGGTGGAGAAAGGGGAAGAAAAGAAGGGAGGAGGGGAAGGCAGGGGGGTGAGTATAGAGGGGGGTATTAGGTAGGCGGGAGCACGTCTGTGAGGCAGCAAGTCCCACTGAGGACCAAGAGGTCTGGGCAAAGTTGGCAGGACTGGTGGGGATATCATGGATAGTATTAGGCTAGGCATGTGTCTGCTTGTAGGATCCACGGCGTCCAGATGGCAGCGAATTGGGGGTATCGGTCATATAGTTGTGCAGTCAGTTCTTCCATATGCACGATCATATTAAGTTCCGTGACCCATTCTTTAGTTGATGGCACAACATTAGTGTTCCAATGTCTGGGGATGAGGATTGCCGGTAAGATCCAAGGATGTGGTGTAGTCACCTGTAGGTAAATCAAGGAGGGGAAGAGGAAGATGTGGGTCTACGGTCTCCGCGGGGCCTCGGGGCGACCGTTTCCCAATCCAGGGTGGGTGGCGAGAATGGCTGGAGGTGGAGACCCGGGTCCGGCCATTGACCCAGGGTGGGCGCCGTGATTCCCATGGCAGCACTAAAGCTCTCTACGTCTGAGAGTGAGCGGAGGGTATGGAAGCGTGCGTTATGTTTAGCCGTGAGGCTAAAGGGATATCCCCAGCAGGAGGATATATTGGCTTCTTGTAGTACTTTGGTCAAGGGGCGCAGGGCCCTACGCTTGGCTAGGGTGCGCCTGGAGAGGTCCGGGAACAGAGATATGTGGGCGCCATCGAAATCCAGGGACCCGGTAGATTGGGCTTTGGTCAGGATTTCAGGCCAAAAAAATGTACTATGCAGAGTACATCCCGTGGTTGTGTGTTGTTGGGCCCCTGGAATCCTGGGGTGCGATGGACTCTATCAATTTCGATATGGTCAGTCACTGGTTTATTTAGGATAGAATTGAAGATCCCTATCACGGATGCTATATCGCCTGTGTTCCTGGGAAGGGGCAACAGCGCATCAGAGAGTCCGGCAAGGGATACCCGGTGTGCAGTCTCGGTGGAGGCCGGGGTGTGTAGCAGGATGATCCAGGTCAAGGGAGAGGCCTATGGCAGGCACACCAGGCATCATCTGGTAAGGCAACTGATGGGAGGTAGAATACGAAGGCAGACTACAATCCAGGGTGTGGTATATCTGGTCGCAGGTAAGATCCAAGGATGTGGTGCAGTCACCTGTAGGTAAATCAAGGAGGGGAAGAGGAAGATGTGGGTCTACGGTCTCCGCGGGACCTCGGGGCGACCGTTTCCCAATCCAGGGTGGGTGGCGAGAATGGTTGAAGGTGGAGACCCGGGTCCGGCCATTGACCCAGGGTGGGCGCCGTGATTCCAATGGCTGGACTAAAGCTCTCCACGTCTGAGAGTGAGCGGAGGGTATGGAAGCGTCCGTTATGTTTAGCCGTGAGACTAAAAGGATATCCCCAGCGGTAGGATATATTGGCTTCTTGTAGTACTTTGGTCAAGGGGCGTAGGGCCCTATGCTTGGCTAGGGTGCGCCTGGAGAGGTCCGGGAACAGAGATATGTGGGCGCCATCGAAATCCAGGGACCCGGTAGATTGGGCTTTAGTCAGGATTTCAGATTTCAGGCCAAAGAAATGTACTCTGCAGAGTACATCCCGTGGTTGTGTGTTGTTGGGCCTCCGGAATCCTGGGGTGCGATGGACTCTATCAATTTCGATATGGTCAGTCACTGGTTTATTTAGGATAGTATTGAAGATCCCTATCACGGATGCTAGGAGGTCGGAGTCACCCGTAGCTTCAGGGAGGCCGCGTATCCTGATGTTATTGCGGCGGCTACGGTCCTCCAGGTCATCTAGGTGGGTATACAGGTCAGCAATGTGGGAGTGTTGAGCAATGACCACTGAACAGAGCTCCTCCACAGCAGATGTAATGGGGGGAGAGTGAATTCCATAACATCCAGGCGGGAGTGGAAGGACTGTAGGCCCTCACGGATCTCTCTCATGTCGGCCTTATGGGCGGATCAGCTTCTGTAAATGGAAAGTGACACTGAATGCAGGAAGTGATGTAATACACATCACTTCCTCCATTCCGGGATTGGAGAGTAGATCAAAAGGGAGATGGTGTACTGATCTCCCTTTGATTTCCTGTCACAGAGCCGTGCCCGGCCGCATCGGGCACAGCGGATCTCGGTATCGGCAACGGCAGTTACAGCTGCTGGCAATACAAGCGATCGGGCATCTCGAGACGCCCGATGGCTTGAATGTAAAGCTCCCTGCCGGCCATGTAATTACAACGGCCGGCCGGGAAGCTGTTCTTCGGGCTCCGCCGTCCTCTAGTCACAGACGAGCGGACAAGTGGATTTTTCAAGCCCTGCCTATTTGTGTTACAGAACTGCAGCAGAGAAAAAAAGGTCTACTCCCCTGTCAGACAGGGCTGTGTGGGGTGGCAAAGCAGTGTAAATCTCAGAATTGGAGCAATCTTTTTGATTCATTGTCATCCTTATATGTGTCATTTTCAACACTCTTTGAAGCTCTAATGAAGGGGGATGTTTTGGCCAAAACACATTGGCTATGTTTTGGTTTGCTGGCTTTATCATCAGATAAATTATTAAAGACTTAAGACCTGTTTTATGGCACTCTCATTTACCTGCCTACATGTTGATTTCTCAATTCGAGTAGCTCCTCTTTGTTAAGGGGGCCCCTTTTTTGTGGAGACCTGCGGAGCCCAAGCCAAAAGGGTTAAGTAATGATCCAGTCTACCTTGTAAAAAATTAATGTCCAGTGCCTCATCCATACCTACGCTTTACATTTCATTAGTTGTGACTGTTAAAAGGGTTTCATATGTTTTCTATTTTTTTTTTCTTGAAACAAAATATTCCTCTTAAAAGGGTTGCCAGCTAGCTAAATGACTAGTCTAAGATAATTGTTGGTTCCATTTAGATTATGCAATCTTGCATTACGGACACATTTTATTTTTAAAACAGATGCAAGACAGGTTTGCATTTGAGTGGAAATATAAATGTGGTTGTGTTTGCAAAAATACTTTTTTGTATTCAAACTGTTTCAATATGTTCTACATGCTTTCCTAATACAGGTATAAAAACTTTAACATTATGTTAATCCACAAAAAAATTGGACACAATGTACATTTTGATAATAAAAAAATACACTTGTTTTCATCCTTTTTGCATCCTTGATTGCTCAGTGCTACTGATTTCCTGCAGCCTGTATGAAACTCCTAATACGGCCATGCCTAATGTGTGTTTAAACGGCCACATGCAGTCACAGTGGAAGCCTGTGTAATAAGGTAACAATGCAGGAGCACAACTGAGAGACAGTGATAGAACGGTGTCGACCTAGAACAGGTAGTTCACTGGCACTCAAGAAGCACAGAACCCCCAAGTATTATTTTAATCAATGCTTAAAATGTAAAAAAAATATTGAAATTTACTTTTGAATATACATTAACATGTTAAAACTTATATAAGTTTTTAGCATCTGGATTTACATATACCTTAACAATAAAGGCATTCATTTATATACAATTCAACTAATTTCAGAGAATAGATGGGCACACCTTAATGGAGGATATGTTCAGCTGTGGCAGGACACTCTGCTGGTACTCTGGATTGGTGACACAATTAATAAACATTCTGCATTTCTCTTGCAGGTAGGTAGCAGTCTTACTACGAATAAGACTATTTCCAAAAAGCTCCAGAAACATTTCACACTTTTCTGTAAACAGAAATACCAAAACATTAATGAGGAACTGTAATAAAAGTGAAGATTTACTATATTACATGGGGAATTTAGAAATGTTTATTAACCCAAATCAGTACCTGGAAAGATGTACCTCTTGTCTGAAATAACAGTGAACTTTCTGGTATGTAAGCGTGCCTAGGCACCCTGTGCTTACAACCTCATAGCTGTATATCTCCAGTGATGTCATTACTGTGCTGCTCTCTGTTCTTCTTGCTAAGGGCTCTTAGCTGAGAAAGCAAAATCCTGCCTCTACTAAGATGGCTGCCTACACACAATAACAGAGTACAGAACAAGGCATAGCAAGTCAGTAATGGGCCAAAGATCATCTGCTCAAAGGCTGTAGGCAATGCTGATTGCAAGTCTTTTACCCTTGCATGCCTTTGTGGGTACAGCTTCCAGAGTTCAGATCCTTTTTAAAAAAGGTTCTTTTTTGGGGGGGGGAGGTTGCACCTGTAACATATGATATGTATATTGACACCTTGCATCTTCAAAGCTGTGTCCACTTAATTTTACTGGATGTCAAGGGTGATCTGTGCACAAAACACATATCCACACTTAAAGCTTAACATATATAATTCATTTTGCCTAAAGCTCCTTTTTAAAGCCTGAAGTACTTCCATCACAACTCAATACAACGTTCAAGCTGCAGGGATTGTAGTCCACAAACATGATTTCTTTAATTAAGCCCTGATGAGGGGGATGGGGGTGTTTTGGACCCTTGAAACACGTTGGCTACTCTACTTGAATGTCCCCTGACTCTCACGCAATAAAGGTGCATCTGAACTATTTTCATTGGTGTGCTGCTTCAATTCCTATATCTGCCTTATCTGTACATAGTCATATTTCCAAAGTAGTAGAAGCTGCTCCAAACAACTAAAAAAGGTAAAAAGTATTTTTCAAAAAAATATATTTTTAGGTATGCTGCATGAATGGTAACCCAAACATAGTGGGCAGGCTTTCAGATGTAACTGCAAAAGTAACGATTTTTACTTGCCTCTAGATTCCTTATCTTGGAGTACAAACAGGAAGCAGAACCTTTAGTCCTAACCATTGGGTTTATGCAGCTACTGTTAGGTGAATGTACACTGGTAAGCAAAGTAATTAGGACAGCCCATATAACCCTTATCACTCCCAGCAAACCTCAGTTCTTTGGCAATTAATAGAGTGAATGGCAGAAAACAGAGGAGGGACCGGTGCCCTGTACTGTACAACAAGATAATGAATTTACAAGCAAGTCGAAATTCCTATTATCTTAATCCTACAGTAAAGGACAAAGACTTTTCTGTCTTTGCTAGGGATCCAAGAAATCAGAGGGTGCAGGTTAAAAATAAAAAAAAAAGGAGTTTATTGAGAAAAACAATAAACAAAAAAAAGGGCAGAAAAAAATAAAATGGAGGAATGCTGCAGCTGACTGGAGGAGGAAGGGTAAGAAACCCTGACAGTGTCCTGCCCTCAACGACCCCTCCCACACGGGAGAACAAAAGGCTTAAATGGAAAGAGAACATAGAAGGCACGGGCGAGGGCAGAGGTGTGAACATCAGAGTAAGAAACCCAAGAACGCTCCTCCGGACGGACTGTAGCCTTTCCAGTGGACCAGGTACTGGACTTGACCCCTGACCCAACGAGAGACGAGGATGCTACGTATTTCATACGCCTCATGGTTGCCAACAGGAATAGGACGAGGAGGAGTGTGGTGTAACTATTACACACTAGGGGCTTCAGTAGGAAGACATTGGAGATACCCGTGCTAGAAGGGAGGTTGAGTGCATAATCAACCGGGTTATCCTTCTAGAGAATAGGGAAAGGTCCAATAAAACGGGGTGCCAATTTCTGAGTAGGCACTCTGAGGCTGAAATTACGGGATGGCAACCACACCATCTCTCCCACCTGGTAGGAAGGAGTGGGTAGACGCCTACAATCTGTCTGGAGCTTTTGGTACTGCATAGAGGCAGGAAAGGAATTCTGAATCTACATCCAAGAGGAATGGAGCACCGAAAGATGAGCCTCCAATTCCCGAATGGCCTGAGGTGTAAAAGATGGCTGAAACCCCCAGTTAGCCATGAACGGGGACATTTGGGAGGAAGAGTATATAGCACTCTTTCTAGCAAACTCTGCCCAGGGTAGAAGATCAGCCCAATTGTAATGATGATCCAAAACATAGCACGGAGTCTTCCTGGACAACTTAGAATACTGGTGAGACAGGGCACCAGGCTTCAAATTTTTTGAGCTGGGCAAATACGAGACCACATAACTGAACTGAGTAAGAAACAGAGCCCATCTGGTTTGGAGTGGTGAGCGCCTCTTGGCCTTCCAGAGATAAGTTAAATTCTTATGATCTGTTGGAATAAGAACAGGTAATGTAGTACCCTCAAGCAGATGTCTCCACTCAAAGGCAGAATTATGGGCAACAGTTCTCCGATTTGGTAATTGCACTTCGCTGGAGATAACTTTTTGGAATAGAACCCACAAGGGTGTAAGTGGCCTTCTGGCATAGGACGTTAACACAGGAGGGCGCCTACACCTGTCTCAGACGCATCCACCTCAAGGATACAAGGTAAGGCAGGATTGGGATGAGGAAATGTGGACTTAAGAGCTTCGAAGGCCTCAATGGCAGCAGGAGACCAGTTGTGTGGATCACTGCCTTACTTAGGTCAGGCCTGAGAGGTATTGCTAGAGAGGAAACATTTCTGATACATTTTCAATAGTTGACAAAACCAAGGAAACATGAAAAGAAGTGGAGACCAGTAGGACGAGGCCATTGTAAAATGGCCTACACCTTCTGTGGATCCATGGAGAACCCCTCCAAGGAGATAACGTAGTCCAACATGGTAACCTGGGACAGGTGAAATTCACATTTGTTAAGCTTACAGAAACCTATTGCCATGTAAATGTTGCAAAACTCATCTAATGTTGTGTCGGTGTGATTCAAGGGAGGAGGAGTTTATTAAAATATAATCTAAATAGACTACCACGCATTGTTGTAATACATCACGGAGAATGTCATTATTGAACTCCTGAAAGACAGTGTGAGCGTTGCACAATCCGAAGGGCATTACTAGTAATGCCCGCTCCTGGAGTTAAACGCTCCTGGTGTCTTCAACTCGTGGCCCTCCTTGATCCTCACAAGATTATACGCACCCCTGAGATCAAGTTTGGTAAAGACCGTTGCTCCCTTGAGGCAGTCAAAATATTCTATGATTAAAGGAATAGGGTAGGCATTCTTGATTGTGATGCGATTGAGACCCCCTATAATTAATACAAGGTCTCAGCTCGCCACCTTCTACTTTTCAAGGAAAAAGATAGCACCTGCGGGAGGAGTGAACTTGGGATGAACTTCTGGGAAAATGCATCCGTTGCGTACTACTCCATGGCCCTATTTTTGGCAACAGAGGGTAAACCCTGCCATGAGAAGGGACTGCACCTGGCTACAATTTGATAGCACAAAACGTAGCAACGATGAGGCTGAAGAGTATCAGCACCCACTTTATGAAATACATTCTGATACTCCAGGTAGGCAATGTGGAGACCGAGGATGTACAAATTAGCTTAATCGGCCTATGGATGCATGTAACGTTAAATTGTGGAGACCAAGAGAGGATCTCAGCCGCCACCCAACTGAAGGTGGGGTCATGTTCCTGGAGCCAAGGGTAACCCAGAATAATAGGATAATGCATATAGGAAAACCTGTAAACATACCGACTCCCTGTGTTGGGCCCCTACAGACAGATCGACCGAAATGGTCTCATGGGTAATATGTGCAGGCTTTAGGGGTCTGCCATCAATGGCCAATGGAGCTGTACGAGGCAACAGAGGAATGGAATTATCGGAGGCAAATGTGCGGTCAATAAAGTAAATCAGCAATTCCAGAGTTTACTAGGGCAGGGGTGTGGAATTCCTATCGCCTGACGCCCAGGACAGGCAGTTTCGGGCGAGTAGTTTTTTTTCTACATTTAGCCCGACTGCGGGCAAGCAGCACGGTTAAATGTAGTATGGGAGCTGTTTTGTTCGAGTGATTTTAAAAGGCTGTACAGCCGTCCAAAAATCACTTGTAACCTGCCTGAATCATGCTTCTCCTCTCTCCTCCCCCTCCCCTCTCCTCCCCCCTCCCCTCTCTATCTCCAGCGGCTGGCCGGCCGTGTACTGCTCCTGGCTGCCTGTCTCTCTGCACCTGGGCTTCCTTTTTGCCTTAGTCTTCGGGGTCCCCCCCTCTTGTGGGGGATTAATGATCAAGGCAAATTAGGCTCCAGAGCACAGAGCAAGGCAGAGAACGGTTCTCTACTCTGCTCCATGTGTGTAGTGACACAGGAATGCAGCCTTCCTGTCACAGGAGAAATAGCACAGTGCTGTTCTAGAACTCCTGTGTTGGAGGTGAAAGGGTCAATAAAGAGAACCTGTCACCTCCAAAATCTATCACACAAGGGCTTGTTACCCTTGTGTGATAGCAATAAAGTAAAAAAAAGTAAAAAATAAAATATATAACACTTAAACATTTACAAGACAGTTGTGGGTAGCTAGGCCAATGGCTCCCCAGGTGTTATCTCTCCCCCTACAAAATAATCAATTACAAAACAACAGGAGGAAATACCGGGGTTTATGAGAGATATGACACCATGACTTGAAGTTTAGTGGAAAAGTTTTATTTTAATTTACACATATATTGCAAGTATACATACAAAGTTAAATAAAAAGCGGCAACAACAGTTGCGACCATTAAAAACAAGGTTAGACCAGAGGCATAGACCCATTAGACATATTCAGACATAACAATTATAGATCAATACAGGTGAAACTCGAATAATTAGAATATCGTGCAAAGTTCATTTATTTCACTAATGCAACTTAAAAAGGTGAAACTAATATATGGGATAGACTCATTACATGCAAAGCAAGATAATTCAAGCCGTGATTTGTCATAATTGTGATGATTATGGCTTACAGTGCATGAAAACCCCAAGAACCCCAAATCCACAACC